GCTCAGTTGGTTAAGCCACTGCCTTCGGCTCAGGTCATGATCCTGGAGTCCCGGGATCGAGTCCCGCATCGGGCTCCCTGCTCGGCAGGGAGTCTGCTTCTCCCTCTGACCCTCCCCCTCTCATGCTCTCTCATTCTCACTCTCAAATAAATAAATAAAATCTTAAAAAAAAAAAAAAGGAAAAGGAAAAATTGGTAGGCACTAAGGCCCTCCTATGTATGAAGAAACTATCCAGTTCTGAAAAGGTGCTTGTATTATTTTCTTAGGGCTTCTGTAAAAAAGTACCATAAACTGGGTGGCTTAAAACCATAGAAATGTATTGTCTCATAGTTCGGGAGGCCAGACATCTGAAATTAAGGTGTTTGCAGGGCATGCTCCCTCTCTCCTAACTTCTGGTCACCTCAGACGTTCTTTGTCTTGTAAATACATCACTCCAATCCTTTGTCCTCACGAGGCCTTCTCCTTCGGTGTCTTCACGTTGTCTGTCTTTTGTGCATGTCTATCTCTGTTCCCAAATTTCCCCTTTTTATAAGGATAGTAGTTTAGAACTCACCCTAATGACCTCATTTTAATGTGATTACTTCCTTAAAGACTCTATTTCCAAATAGTGTCACATTCTGAGGTCCCAGAGCTTAGGACTTCAGTGTCTTTTCCAGGAGACAGTTCAACCCGTAGTAGTACGTTAGTTTGAGAGCTCTACCGATCCCACAAAAAAAAACCCTCAATTTTTTATAGCCTCTCCTCTCTTGTATTCTTACTCTGACTTTCCTAAAATGGAAAGACTCTTGCTAAATCCTGGAATTTTAATGATAAAATATCTTCAGTGGAGACATTTTGTGATGTTGAAACTTCTCTCTAAGATGCCACCAGTTACATCAAAGCAGGAATTGTAGCAGGGTTATCTTTCCCAGGATCCCAGACCCAGGGGGCCCGTGTTCAACGTCAAATGATTATCAAATAAATGATCACATGTGAAGTCGTAGAGTTTGGACAAAGATTTGTTTCTTCGAAATTTGTACACACATACTGTAAGCTTGAACTCATTTTTTTTAACATATTTCCCATATGGTGTATTGCAGTATAATTCTACCCATAGGCTATTATAAATCTGTAGAGGGAAAAGAAAGTCTTTCCATGAGCAGAAGAGAATCTCTTCCAGCAGAAGTAGCAAACACCATCCGAAGCACCCCAAAGGGGAAAATTAGGCCAACTAGTTTTAAAATCATCAGGGTTGACAACAAGAATGAAGCCCAAGTCACTGTCACAGACTTCTACTCTCAGGGACGTAAGCGGCAGTGGAATCAGAGATGAAACTCAGAATAATTATTTGGTGAGAGCCAGACTGATGTCTTTATTGTGCTCCTGAATTTCAGTTAAGCATTTTTCTGCCTGCTTTGATTTTGCGAGGCTATTGAAACTGAAAACATTTCCGTACTCCAAATTTCCTTTTGCCAGGGCACATGGTTTAAAGATTTTTCATCTGATAGTAGTTCTTTAAAAATCTTAGAGTATCTTTTTTAGACAGAACTTTAAAATGTGGTTTACTTTTTTACCTTGTAAGAATAAGAAGTCTCAAGAAGTCAAAAGAGGAGACAAATCAGAAGGTTGGAGTCTTCATCTCAGGAGTGAAGGGGATATTTTATTGAATTGAACAAACAATGCATTTAAACCAGGGGTCCCATAACTAAAATATTTTCTAAGGCTAAGCAGGTGTGCATATCGGAACTGCTGCCACTGTGTTCTAGCTGGTAACTACTGTTTCTCAAGACGGGCCCAGCATTGCCAGATGCTCAGCATTTTTAAAAGAAGGTGGAAATCTGGGTTTTTCTATGGATAACCCATTTGTGTGCATGCACGTACATGCATGCATGTATATAGGTTAGAGGGGAGCCAAGCCGTAGCTGCGGGCCAGATTTGGCCAACAAGAAGCAATTTGCAACCTCTGTTCTAAACAGTACAGTATTTTGGCAAGAGAAATTTGTTCACAAGGAAAATATGTTAAAAGAATTAATTAGGGGCGCCTGGGTGGCTCTGTTGGTTAAGCAACTGCCTTCGGCTCAGGTCATGATCC